CTCCTCCTGCCTTCAATCCTTCCCAGCATCAGGGTCCTTTCCAATCCCCTTAGTAATGAATCCCCTTACTAATAATTAACGAAGCCCCTAGCCTCTAACACCTTTTTCTTTTACTGCCCATTTTTTCCTGACCCCATGCAGTCCTTTTCTTACGTACATGTGTGTTGGGACCAATTTTTCATATGACAGCATTAACACAGGCTAGACATCTACTATCACTCAGAATTCAGATTCAAAATAAGTTCTCTCACACTGTTTCCTAAGGACATGTTTCTGCCCTCTACAATGCAATTCCCCTCCTCAAAAAGCCTATAACCAGCTACTAGATATGTTTTCTATTCTAACCTGAAAATTTTATTCTCTAAGTCTCTACCTAACCTGTCTCTGAAAAGAGAGAAATTTCCCAGTCAAGCCCAACCTCAAGGCTGATTCTCTCTGGGAGAGAAGCAGGAAAACTATGTGTCTCCTTAAGGAAATGCTGCAGCCTAAGATTGCATCACTCAAAGACAATCCATGGTACATACAAGGGTGGTTCAAACATTTCAAACATGTATGCAATGGCTCTTTCGTAAACTGGTCCCCAGTTAGACAGTTCAGAGAGGCATTTTAAAGGCTCCTCTGAAGACTGCAGCAACATCAAGCACTAGTCAACCTGCAGCAGCAGCCAGCTTGGCAATTCAACCTTATTGAGCATTCCCTCCTTTATTTCACAGCCCTCATCGTGCCTTCTGGCTCCTGCAATTAGTCTCCAAATAAACTACTTGCCCTTTCACACTATTCATGGGGTTCTCACAGCAAGAATACTGGAGTGGTTTGCCACTCCCTCTTCCAGTGGACCACATCTTGTCAGAACTCTTCACTATCACTGTCCGTCTTGGGTGGCCCTGCACCACGTGGCTCAGAGCTTCACTGAGTTACACAATCCCCTTTGCCACAAGGCTGTGATCCACTACGGGGAAAAGGCCTTGATGCTGGGAAAGACTGAAGCCAGAAGGAGAAGGTGGCAGAGGACGAGATAGTTAGGAGCATCACCAACACTAAAAAGAAGTTGAGCAAACTCTGGGAGATAGTGTACGACAGGGAAACCTGGTGTGCTGTAGTTCATAGGGTCAAAAAGAGTCAGAGACAACTTAGTGACTGAACAACAACAAAACTACTTGTATGCAAGACTTGTCTTAGCCTCTGCCTTCGGAGGAAACCAGGCCAAGACATTCTCTTTCATTTAAAGATTTTTATTACAGGGAAAGGTTAAGTTATTCAACTGTTAAGTTATTTTAAACATAATTTGAAACGTATAACTAATTCCAAATATATTATGGGGAAAATGCACATTTTACACTTATTTGTTCCTTAAAACATAAAACTTTTTAAAAGACTCACACTTTCAAGTAATATAGGAAAGCCATCTCAGAAACCAGTTACTACAATAGATGAAGAATAGGTCCCCAGCTGCAAAAAAACTTATGCTGGTGCCCTCAGTGTCTATGAGCCAGCTTACAAAGACCTGTCTGAATTTCACTGCCTGAGGGCTTTTCCCTGAAGCTACTGAGTCCACTCTAAGCACACAGTAGGCCAGAAGTTCTTGGAACCAACCCCCTAAAACAGCCCTCAACCCATGACTGATGGGAGTGAGCATCTAATACTCAGTTCCCTAGAGAAAGGTAGAAAGAGGGACAGAGAGAGGTGGGGGGGGGGCATGTGGAAGGGAATAGGTACACAGACATGATAGACATAAAAAGTTAAGAGATATTACTATGGACTGTAGAGTACCACCCCCCCCCCAATTCATATGTTGAAGCCTTAAGCACCAATGTGACAATATTTAGAGACGGGGCCTCTGGGAGGTAAGTAGGTTTAGATAATGTCATGAGGATGGGATTAGTGACCTTATAAGGACAGACAGCAGACAGTTTGCTTCCCCAGTATGCTCTTTGCATGTAAGGACTCAGGGAGAAAGCAGCCACCTGGAAGCCAGGAAGAAGGCCCTCACTAGGGAAATGAGCTGTCCAGCACCTTGACCTTGGACCTCCCAGTCTCCAAAACTATAAGAAATATGTCTTATGTTAATATTAATGTGTATATGTGAAATCTAGGAAAATGATATAGATGATCTTTTTGCACAGCAGGAATAGAGATGCAGATGTAGAGAAGAGACATGTGGACATGGGGTGGTGGGAAGGATGGATTGGGAGAATAGTACTGACATATACACACTACTATGTGTAAACAGATAGCTAGTGGGAAGACGCTGGATAGCACAGGGAGTTCATTCAGCTCCATGCTCTGTGATGGCCTAGATGACTAGGAAGGGGACAGGGGTGAGGGAGGTCCAAGAGGGAGGTGACATATGTATACATACAGCTGATTCACTTCACTGTTCATCAGAAACTAACACAGTGTTGTAAAGCAGCCATATCCTAATAAAAAGAAAGAAAAAATACTCATTGTTTAAAACACCCAATCTATGGTATTTTTGTCATGGTGAATTTCATCCACCTGAGCTGACTAATACAGATGTGCTGCAGATATATACCCCCCATCCCTGAAGTGGGCAATCTCTGACGTGTATATTTCACACCATTTCCCAGGTCTCCCCTGGGACTAGGTGTCAGTGGACATTGGTAGTAATTGATTTGATAATGAACTTCCATTGGCTGTCTTTCTTTCTCCGTCTCTCTTCCCATTTCCTTCCCTGTATTTCCTACATTTCTAAAATAAATTATTTTACTCTAGAAAGCTGTCTCAAAATCTGTTTCTATGGGCACCCAAATGGAAACAGTCTTATTGGTATAAAAATCTACAAAGCTCTGCCCTGGGTCATATCCATTGAGAACAATACTACAAAGAGGGTTCAGTACTTTTACACACTAGTGTTCAACCGGCTTAAATGAGATCCAAAAATGAGAAATCAGAGCTTAACTCCCAAGAGGATCTGTGAGAAAAAGTCAGTATGCATGTCTATTCTGAAAATAGTTGTGCCTCAGTGCCTGCATGGCTTAGGGCTAAATTGAGATAGGGTTTTTTGGTTTTTCTTTTTTAGATTTTTTTTAAGACTTTGGTGGTAAATTTCATTCACACTCCTAACAAACTGCTTGTTTCAAAATAGTTTCACCAAAGGAAAGTGAACTGTGTTTTCTTCACTGCAGAGCAAACGGAGAAGAGTTAGATTGATTTCAACTACCTTCTGGAGCTTTTCATCATAGTCTCTTCAAATGTCAAACCACTGCCTGAAGTACATATTTTTAACATTCCAATATCACAGTGTGTTGCTTAGGACCTCAGCCCTCACCTTTCCCCACGGACATCCTATTTTTATGAAAGATAGAACTGAATCAAGGAACTTGCCTGAGGTAATGAGGTGGGGGAAGGGCACTCAGCAAGGTTTGTTGCTGTTGTTCAGTCACTAAGCCATGTCTGACTCTTCGACCTCATACACTGCAGCACGCCAGGCTTCCCTGTCCTTCACTATCTCCCTGAGTTTGCTCAAATTCATGTCCATTGAGTCCATGATGCCATCCAACCATCTCATCCTCTGTCACACCCTTCGCTTCCTGCCCTCAATCTTCTCCAGCATCAGGGTCTTTTCCAATGAGTCGGCTCTTTGCATCAGGTGGCCAAAGTATCGGAGCTTCAGCTTCAGCATCAGTCCTTCCAATGAATATTCAGGGTTGATTTGAAATATAAAGTCTCCAATTTGGTATTTGTCACATTAAACTTGGTGTTGAGGAGTTCCTTCTCATTGCCAGTGTACAGACAAGATTACTGTCTGAAAGCTTTTTCACTCCTTATCCTACCTTTCCTCAGATTCTAAGTGTGAAGAACCCAGAGGCAGCCAGAATGAGAGAAAGATGCAACAGTGTAGGTCTCCAGAAGGATCTAATCTAAATCCAGTGTTTTAAGCTGATATTAGATGATGGGATGAGATGGGAAAATAAGAAGTTACCATTACTCATTGGAGAGAAGGGACTACTCTATCGCTGCTCTCAGTAAATCTCTAAGAAAAATATTTCCTGGGCACTTTCACTGTGCTTCTTTGAGAAGGGAAAGGCTACCCACTCCAGTATTCTGGCCTGGAAAATTCCATGGACTAGATAGTCCATGGGGTGCAAAGAGTCAGACATAACTGAGCAACTTTCACTTCACTTCACTTCATTATGCTAATTACTATACTAGTTCCCAAGAAATTAATATTTTAAAATGTATACTTCCTCAAAAAGCTGACAAGCTATTGTAAAAGCAAACAAAGTAAATCCCAGATTTCACTATAGTTTATAAACATGACCACCAAGCTCTTCACTGGGGCTCCAAGAGCTCAAGAAGCAACCTCTCAATGAGCTGGGGGATTCAAGCATATGGCATGTATTCTTCTCCACCACAACTGAACAGATAAAGCTACTCCTCCACCCCCAATCCCTTCCAAATTTATAGCAATCTAAGGAGACACCTTTTTCAATATCAGTGTAGTTGATAATTAGAATTTATACAATGGGATTGAAATAGAACATTTGATGAAAGAAAACAGTATCAAATCAAATCCCTTACCCCCTTCAAGATATTCTTACCTTTAGGTGTAAAATGTGATTCATCTATCCTTGTTGTTGTTGATGAGTCGCTAAGTCGTGTCCCACTCTCCAACCTGATGGGCTACAGCACACTGGGCTTTCCTGTCCTTCACTATCTCCTGGTGCTTGCCCAAAGGCAAGTCCATGGAGGCCATGATGCCATCCGAACATCTCATCCTCTGTCACCACCTTCTCTTCCTGCCTTTAATCTTCACCAGCATCAAGGTCTTGTCTGATAAGTTGGCTCTTACGCATCAGGTGGCCGAAGTATGGGAGATTCCCTTTAGAATTGACTGATTTGATTCAAGATGGCAGCCCGGCGTGGTCTGAGGTGGTCGCAACTATTACTGTGGAAGTTGTGGCAGGCCGGTGGGGGGCTGGTTCCACAAAACCCAAGATCGGGCCTGGGCCTAGAAGCGAGGGCTTACACCCAGAGCAATGGCCTGTACTCGCTCATGGCGCTCTATGATCTGCTCTGCATTCTCTCCACGACCAGCCTGGAGCAAATCAAGGCGGCCTAACCACCAGCAGAGCTTCCTCTCCCACCCGGACAACTCGGGGAGCTCTGAGTCTGCCGAGCACTTCACGCGCGTCTCCCAGGCTCACAAGGTGCCGGGCAGTACCACCTTGCGTCAGAAGTATGCCCGCGGCCTGCCAAGCGACGAGGGCCTGCACGGCCCGGGCGTCCGGCCTTCCAAGATTCCAGCCGCTGACCCCGAGGCGAGCCCCGCACCTGTCCGCCGAGCTCTCCACCCCACGGCGGTGGTCAGGCCTTGTCGGAAGCCAACCACACCACGTTGGACTTGGACGCCTTCTTCCGGGCGCGCTGCGGTGAGTGGCTGGAGCGCAAATGGCGGCTGAGGGCCAGCCAGGAGGCCTTCCGCAAGATGCTGGAGGACCGGGCCAAGAAGGGCTAATCCTGGGATGAGACGTGGCTTTCGTCCTCATTCTGCACCTTGTCTTCCTCATCATGAGCTCTTGTTTATAATCGGTGAGTAGAAGGCAGGGGAGCAGCCCCCAGCCAAGAAAATGACCTTGCCTGTCGTCTTGAACCCCTTACTTCCCATTTTCTACCTCTTTTGGGGGTCCGAAGGAACTGCCCTCTCCCCCTCCTCTTCCCCACCTGGCCAGCTTAGCCATTGACCTGCACATCCCTGCCCCCATCCCCGTCCAGAAAAGGCCTTTCGATGCTCAAGAAAACAGGCCCCTAATGAGGAGTCTCAGAGAAGGAGATGACACCGCACTCCAGTACTCTTGCCTGGAAAATCCCATGGACAGAGGAGCCTGGTAGGCTGCAATCCATGGGGTCGCGAAGAGTCGGACAGGACCGAGCGAGTTCACTTTCACTTTTCACTCTCATGCATTGGAGAAGGAAATGGCAACCCACTCCTGTGTTCTTGCCTGGAGAATCCCAGGGACGGAGGAGCCTGGTGAGCTGCTGTCTATGGGGTCGCACAGAGTCAGACACGACTGAAGCGACTTAGCAGCAGCAGCAGCAATGAGGAGTCTGAAAGCCCGAGAGTGAGGGGTTTTCTGGAGGCCCTGGGGTGCCCGCTCCTGGATATTGTCAGCTTCTGGAATACTTGCTCTGGCTTTCTTGTAAAGAAAGATTCCCAGCAAGATTCGTCTGCTCCTTCCCCATGTAGCATGGGGCTCCTGTGTAACCTTGAAACATGCAATGTGACCAGTTGTGGCTGCCGAAAGAAAAAAATCTGGGGTCGTACGAAACTTGTCTTTCTGTGAGTTTCCCAAGCCACAGGTGAGGCCAAGGTAGGGTAAGGATGTGATTCGTGGGAACCTGGCCATTCTTAGGTGGTTAGATCCCACTTCACCTTCTGTTGGTGGCCTGTGGGAGTGGGAAAGAAAGTAAGGTTATGAGCCTTCCTGTTCCCATGCTTATCGAATGTATGACCTGGGAAAATTTCCTCTGTGGACGTGATGGCAGAGGAGCAAATTGTTTGCTCTTTTGAGGTCTGTCATATTTGATTATCTATTTTCTGGTAGGTTCAGTGATTAAAATATTGATGTCAGTAGAGCCGGGTTTATCCTTGGGGCAGTGTGCCTGGCACCTGGTCATCCCTTGACCAGCCAGCCTCTTTACTAACTGTGCAGTTCCTCCCCTCCCAGAGACAGAGCAACAAATGGGGAGTTAGAATCACCTGAGAGAGGCCCACCCTCCCATTCTGCTGGCAGTGCCCTCCGCAGGCCCTACAAGCCAAGTCCTTGAAACATGACTATTTGAGGCTGTGAAAACTGGGGGAATTTGAGTAGACAGGACTGTTGAGGGACAGGTGGGATGTGGTAGAAATGCAATTCTTTATTCAGAGCTCACTGAGTCTTTTTTTTTTTTTTTTTTTTTGCTACACAGTTTGGCATGGGAGATCTTAGTTCCCCAACCAGGGATCGAACCTGTGCCCCTGCAGTGGAAGTGCAGTGTCTCAACCACTGGATCCCCAGAGAAGTCCCCACACACACACTTTTTTTTTCCCCTTTATTCCTAACTGGTGCTAAGCAGTGGGTGATCACTTACTAGAGCTATTGTAATCCAACTCTCTTAACCCTGGATCACTGCACGTGGAGTATGAGCTGTGAGATGGTAGGAACTCAAGTGTGTATGCACTGTTGAGCATAGAGCCCTGGGATAGGAAAACCTTTGCAGGAGACATACTACAAGATAAAGACTTAAGTCTAGGTTGTAAACAAAGCAAGAGGTGCTTTGCTATATTTACACCAATTCCTGCAGTCAGTCTTTTGTGTGCAGTTCCTGTATAAATTTGGATAAACCCATAGCTGGTTCAACTTGGTCTCTTGGAGTTTTCTTAAGTTTTTCAACATGGCTTTGTAGTGACCATTTGATTCAGTAGTAAGGATTTAAGCTCACTGTGGTTCAGACATGCTGGGCTCAGTGAGCCTTGGTTTGGGGGTGGGAGGCATATGTACTTTTCAGTATAACATTTAATGTTACTATGTTTCATATTTGGAAATCATGGTTGGGGGGGTCTGTTCTTTTCAAAGCACAAACAACAGGAAGTGAAGCTGAGTAAAAGGTACAGAGACTGGTAATTCTCAACCAAAGAGTTGGGGCATAACAGATTGTCCTCGAAGCAAAATTTCTTACAAGTTTCAAATAGGGTTGGGGTTCTTTGGGGTTTTATTTGTAAAGGCACTAATGGTCTGTGATATCCAGGACCTTTCTCATGGACTCTGATATATACCTCTCAAGTTGGTTTCCTCTCAGTAAAGATCACAGCCAAGAAAATTCCCTGGGGACCCCAGAACATGGAGGTGGATAGAAAATTCCAGAAGGTTTGAGGTGGTGGGGTCCAGACTCTGTGAAACTTCTGGAACAGTCCATGCAACTCCAGACATGGCAGTCAATAAAATGTATTAACCATCCAAAAAAAAAAAAAGAATTGACTGGTTTGATCTCCTTGTAACCAATATTTTTCCCCACAGTCTTTACTACATAAATATTGAAGCAATATTAGTGAAGACAGTATTCTCTAGGTTCTGCTACTCTTTTACCCTCAGTTCACTAAAAATACTGGTCAGTTTCCTTCTTTCCTTTTCCCTCCAGCTCATGCATAGCCTCTTCTTTTTAATTCACTGAACTCTCTGAAGGTACAAAGGCTAAGCCATGACTTTTAATAGATCCCTCACCTGGTACAATGGGACCAGTTTAGCACCATTCAATCACACCACTGACTATACAAGACCAAACACCACACCAGACACCAGAGATAAAGAAACAAACAGAAATTCTATCTCCAGATATAGAGAGACTGACAGTTAAGACATATATCTCTGAGGGGTAAGGACTGTGCTATAATGCAGGCATGTGAAAGATGTCATAGGTGGAACACAGCCCAACAGAAGAGGAGAGAGATGATGACGGACATCTTCCTAGGGGAAGTAGGATGTGAGCTGAGCCTCTAAGAAGCTGAAGTTAGCTGTGCATAGAACAAATGAGCAAATTCCCAACATGCTGCATTGCTTGCCATCTTTAAAGGCTCCTCAAGAACCTTAGATGAGAGATGACCTTAGGGAAGTAGAAAGTAGCTAAGTTGTGAAGGCAAGAACTCATATCCAATACCACCAGCTGAACAGCTCTTGTTAACATTACAAAGGGCAGAGATTTAAAAGAAGGCCTGGACCGACTGAGATCAATATTCTTGGTTCAAAGCTCTCTACTCAGTTCTATCTGAGAGTCCTGAGAGGTTTATAAAATGTCTGAAAATGTGATGCTCCAGCTATTAATATAATAAAAGAATTCCACAAAGGCCAGCATGAGACATTTCCTAAACATATTCAGAATTTTACTAAAAATTGAAGAAAATAACCAATTTTGTGTATTCCTCCTTGACCCACAGGTAAGGGAGGAACTTGATTCACAGATGTGTACACATGTTTGAGAGGACATGAAAGCACTTGTAATTTTTTTAATGGTAAACAGCTATATATATATATATATATATATATATATATATATATATACACATGTATATAAATATATTAGTCACTCAATCATGTCTGATCCCATAGACTGTAGCCTGCCAGGCTCCTCTGTTCATGGAATTCTCCAGGAAAGATTATTGGAATGGGTAGCATTCCCTGCTATATCTTGTATTTTATGCACTTTTGCAAGTAAGTTAAAAACTATTCATTTTTTTGTAACTGTCAAGCATTGAGAATATATAAAAATGACAGACCCTTGCCTCCTGAGTAAAAATAACACATAGAAGAACCAACCAAGTTGTAGGTATTGTCGCATGCTTTTACCTCATCAAGCAATAATTATGTTTTAATCAGTATATAAAAGATCATATTGAAAACTATTTATATCCTTTACTGCTTTGGCAATTGGAGAAAGAAAAAGATTCCAATATGAAGTCTTGCAATGGGACTCAACTAATGTGTGGGCTTCAGTCCTGATCTACATTACACTTAGTCATGAGATACATATATAAATATACAGATATAATTTAAATTAAAAACTCGCAAAATCAAGATGATCTGGCCCACTATAGGAGAACATTAGTCCTTGATTGCTTTGTGATATTAGTAAGTCTAGAGGAGTTTATTTTGTGTGAGAGAGAAACTATGGCTGGAAAATATCACAATGCTAAAAGACTTGATGGAAAGCAGCCAGAGATGGGCAAAGTCACATTTTTAAGATGTTCCCAAAATAAAGTTAGAACTCAGTAGTCTTGATCTGAAACACTGGAAACTATCAATGGCAATAAAGTTAGCTAGGTGGTTAATAGCCAAAAATGAAAAGCTATTTATATTTAACACTAAATGAATACATTGTTATCTAGGAAATAGTATATATCAGCCTTGTAATGCTATCAGTTCAATTTCAACTTCACAGTGTGATCCAATAATCATAAAAATCACAAATTTGCCTAAATCATCTGTAGTTTTATCATCACCCCTAATCAGTTTGCTTTAGAAACTTGCTAGCCATTTTCAAGTAAATTCATATCTATTCCAAGTTTCATAATCCACTTATTTTTACTATAATATTATAAAGGCAGTGGTGAGAATGAAGCCTTGGTCCAGCTTCTTGCCCAGGCAAAAGATTTGTTTCAAATGCAAAATAGGCCAATGAATTTTAATGTTAAAGGGCAGAAGTTCAGTGAAAAGGTTTCAGATTCTACATTCCAACTAACCTTAAAGAAACCTCCACTTTCGGAATGCTTATGTTTTATTAAAGAGAAAAGCCAAAATTTACCTGAAAATGATATTTCAATACAGTAAGTCCCCTACACATGAACAAGTTCCATTCCAAGAGTGTGCTCATAAATCCAGTTTGTTCGTTAAGGCCAACAAAGTTAGCCTAGGTGCCCAGCTAACACAAG